AGAACTTGCTCCACGTCAGTAAGTGTTTCCCTTAATAGAAAGGCTATTGAAAGAACAATATATACCCCAGTGTAGAGTGACATTAAGAGTTGTCCATAAACCCGAGTCAAAATCGTAGATTTCATACAAAAAAATCCATGTGCTTCATAGAAATAATCTAGAAACCTCAAGAATTTAATGTTACGACAAGATTCTTTATCTTCGTATCCGAGAGCATAACTGAACCTATCATATCCGTGAGAATATCGGAGGTTAATCTACCTTATTCCCAATACGGATTCCAAACAACAACCCTAGTAACATCTTTCAAGATGCATAACAATAAACCCTCATAGTGGATAATCTCATATACACTCACTTGATTATGAAGGAAACTAAGTTGACCTCTAACCTCTATAGATGGATCAAAGTCAACCACGCCGCTCATTAAACAAATTTTGTGAGGCATCATCATAGTCTCCCATTCCCTACTTTACCAATGTGCATCTTCGTAAAACTGTCACTTTTGGATAAATTGCTCCAAGTTTTACAAGTTAGTCTCACAACTTTGATAGATTTTAAGGGAACTCTAGAAATAATCTCCTCTATCAAAATCCATTGGAAGGTTGGAGATCATCGTTGTCTTTGTTTTAACCTTCACAACAACAAATGTTTCTTGCTGCTAAGGGAAAGGAAATATAAAACCCTAAACGAAGTTGGGCCAATAGTGGGCTTCGGAATTTAGTTGGGCTTTTAATGATGTTATAGTGTAGACCTTAAGCGAACCCAATTTGTATCTGGCGCGAGGTTTTATTTTCTGCGGAGGAGAAGATCGACGGTTCGTCTCTTACGGTGGAGATGGAGGAGGAAAATTCTCCGGCGACGGCGATTGCACCGAGAGAGCCACCGAAGATTCAACGCCTAGAAGAGTCAGTGGTCAACCGTATCGCAGCTGGTGAAGTAATCCAGCGTCCAGTTTCAGCGGTGAAGGAGCTCGTTGAGAACAGCCTCGACGCCGATTCTAGTTCCATAAGCGTCGTTGTTAAAGACGGTGGATTAAAACTCATTCAAGTCTCCGACGACGGTCACGGTATTAGAGTACGGTTCTTCTACACACTCTCATTTTGAATTTCACAAATGGGAAAATTCTGATTCTGGATTTGTTTTTGTGTCAATTCTTGTGGAAGATGATTACTTTGTGTTCTTGTTGTTTCGTGTTTTTAGCGTGAAGACTTGCCGATATTATGCGAGAGACATACGACATCGAAGCTGACTAAGTATGAGGATTTGTTTTCTCTGAGTTCAATGGGATTTAGAGGAGAGGCATTGGCTAGTATGACTTATGTTGCTCATGTTACAGTAACTACTATTACTAAAGGCCAGATTCATGGTTACAGGTTTGGAACATTGGTTTGATTAAGTTATATTTTGTTCTGCTCTATGTGTGAAGATAGTGTTATATTGTAGCTGCAATTTTTTGTTCAGAGTGTCTTATAGAGATGGTGTCATGGAGCATGAACCAAAGGCGTGTGCAGCTGTTAAAGGAACACAGATAATGGTAATTCTTCAATTCTTGGCATCAAATTGGTTGAGCAGAGAGCGGGGGAAGCGACTTTCACCAGTAACTTTCCATGTTTATGTATGATCTAGGTGGAGAATTTGTTCTACAATATGACTGCTAGAAGGAAAACACTTCAAAATTCTGCTGATGATTATGGGAAAATAGTAGACTTACTAAGTCGGATGGCTATTCATCACAATAATGTCAGCTTTTCTTGTCGAAAGGTTGGTATACTTACTAACTAAACATGTCTACGTATAGCAATCTTTTGGGTGTTTTGGAATTGTGAAGCGAATGAGCGAATTCTTTTATGATGCTGTCTTGCCAGCATGGAGCTGTTAAGGCTGATGTTCACTCAGTCATGTCGCCTTCGAGGCTTGATTCCATCAGATCTGTTTATGGGGTATCAGTTGCAAAGAACTTGATGAAAGTAGAAGTTTCCTCCTGTGACCCCTCCGGTTGTACTTTTGATATGGAGGGTTTCATATCCAATTCAAACTATGTTTCTAAGAAGACCATATTGGTGCTTTTCATTAATGGTGAGGATTTTCTTCCTTAGTAGAAATGAAAAGTTATATCTGATTTATTACTATATAAGCCTATGTGACGTACTTTATTGATTACAACAGATAGATTGGTGGAATGCTCTGCCTTAAAAAGAGCCATTGAAATTGTTTATGCTGCAACATTGCCAAAGGCATCGAAACCTTTTGTCTACATGTCAATCAATTTGCCACGGGAACATGTTGATATCAATATTCACCCAACAAAAAAAGAGGTTATTGCTTTCCTCCTTTTATACTAGTTTCGAGGCCTAGCAGATGTTCCAGATTTATGTATGTCTGGGTCCAAATATTTCAGTGAGAAGATTGTGTATCTGTTGCTTAACTTTGCTTGAAAAATAAACTCCTTATTTATACATCAAATAATAGATGTTTTGGTCTACCGTGCAGGTTAGCCTACTAAACCAGGAAATTATTATCGAGATGATACAGTCAGAGGTTGAAGTAAAACTGAGAAACGCAAATGATACTAGGACGTTTCAAGAACAGGTATGCTTGCAAAAGAACCTGAAGCAATCTTTTTCTCTGGAGGTTAAGAATACTTATATAATAATCATGTTTCCTTTCAATATTTTCATGCTACAGAAAGTGGAATACATTCAATCTACATTAACATCCCCAAGAAGTGATTCTACAGTTTCTCCGAAGCCTTCTGGTATTGTATCATTTGGCTGGGTTGAACCTTTTATATCCTAAAACTTTTCCCGTTGCATGCACTTTTGTCCCTTTTCGCTTCATAGAAAAGCTTGTGCTCTTCTCATTTACTAGGACAAAAGGCACAGAAAGTTCCTGTGAACAAAATGGTGAGAACGGATTCATCAGATCCAGCTGGAAGGTTACATGCCTTTTTGCAACCCAAGCCACATAATCTCCCTGACAAGGTTTCTAGTCTGAGTGTAGTTAGGTAAGACCTCATGTGATACCGGATATGTAGTTTCATACAAACAAAATTGGATCCCGAGTCATCACTTTTCAAAAATCGCATCTTATTTACCAAAGATGTGCACTCCTTTGATTTCCTTGAAAAGTATTTGCTGCCGGTGTTACTATGGCTTGATATTTCTTTTATTTATTACACTTCATTATATTCCACATGATATATATTACTGAACTTGCAGGTCTTCGGTAAGGCAAAGAAGAAACCCAAAGGAAACTGCTGATCTTTCTAGTGTCCAAGAACTTATTGCTGGAGTTGACAGCTGCTGCCATCCAGGTAGCTTTCTCTGCATGGTTATTCTTCTGAACATAACCTTAAACAAATCCTCGTAACTGCGTTTCTCGAAATTAATCTTTGTTAGGTTTGCTGGAGACTGTGAGGAACTGCACATATGTTGGAATGGCAGATGATGTTTTTGCTTTAGTTCAGTATAACACCCATCTATATCTAGCCAATGTGGTGAACCTCAGGTAATATTCTTGAGATTTAATGTTTGGTAGAGGATATTCTACTGTATCAAGATGAAAAATCTATCTGAATTGTATTTGACGAGTTGTAATACTTCGCAAAAGAAACTCATAAAGCATACCATCTTATTGGATTTTGCAGCAAAGAGCTTATGTATCAGCAAACTCTTCGTCGTTTTGCTCATTTTAATGCAATACAGCTTAGCGATCCAGCCCCTCTGTCCGAGTTGATATTGTTGGCTCTGAAAGAGGAGGATCTAGATCCAGAAACTGATAAAAATGATGATCTGAAAGAAAGAATCGCTGAAGTAACTTCTGCTTTCTGTATCGTATTTCTGCTACTAGTTTTGTACCAACTATTCCTTCTGTTCAGCTCGTATTCTCAACAGTAACAAGTTCCTGAGGCTGTAATGTTTCGTATGGATTTTGTTAACTTGTTTCGTTTTTGATATATAGATGAATACAGAACTCCTCAAGGAAAAAGCGGAAATGTTAGAGGAGTATTTCAGCGTTTACATTGACTCCGATGGAAATTTGTCACGGCTTCCTGTCATTCTCGACCAGTATACACCTGACATGGATCGTGTTCCCGAATTTTTACTATGCTTGGGAAATGATGTGAGTTCCGCGATTACAATTTGTACAATTATTATCCGCCTTTTTGTGCCTTCTGAAGTGTTACTGATCATAGGAACAGTGGGTTCTAATGTCACCCTAACGTACGTTTTAGGTTGAGTGGGAAGATGAGAAGAGTTGCTTTCAAGGAGTTTCTGCGGCTATTGGGAACTTTTACGCCATGTATCCTCCTCTTTTGCCTAACCCATCGGGTGACGGTATTCAGTTCTATACTAAGAGAGGTGAGAGCTCTCAGGAAAAGTCAGATTTAGGTATGTAAACCTCCTGCAGTGACCAATGTTTTCGCTTTTGGTTCCTCTGCAATTAAAAAAGATGAGAGCATCTAATGTTACATTGAACTTTTGTAGATGGTAACGTGGAGATGGAGGATAATCTTGACAAAGATCTTCTGTCAGATGCTGAAAACGCATGGGCACAACGTGAATGGTCAATCCAACACGTGCTGTTTCCGTCCATGAGATTGTTCTTGAAGCCACCAGCTTCCATGGCTTCAAATGGGACTTTTGTAAAGGTTACCATTTCTTCAATTACCAGAAGGAGCTACACATGTTACGTTTAAGTAAACAAACTTTTTTTCTGGAGAATCAAATTTCACAAAGACATTAATTACATTCTTTTTATTCTTTTGCAGGTAGCATCCCTTGAGAAGCTGTACAAGATATTCGAACGATGCTAGTTGAAATCGCTGTTCGCATATGGAACTTTTGATATGAGTAGGCTTCCATTTGCCCTAACTATGCAGACTTTGAATGAAACTGGAACCAGTAAATGGTTAAACCTAACTGTGGCACACATGGCTGACCAAAACCATTATCACCAAACTCGACCCTTTTGTGTGACTATCCTCGTCAATTGAAGGGGAAAATATTGTAAATATATTAGATTATCTCTGGCATGAGGCGCTGGAACGACCGTTCACCAAAATCGTCGTCATTAGCTTGTGAAGTCTCTAGTATTAGATTGTCCCTGCCAAGTGTAGACCGAATAGGAGCAGGTTGAAAAGAGAAAGAGAGCGACGTAGATATGGCTCGACTGAGTGTTTGCTGTCCTTGAGAGAAACCGCTTCTGTCGTTCCCAACGCTTCCGCTCCTGTAGCCCTGTCTAGAACTCCTGGCTCGAGGTAAGGCTATGTGGCCTCTCTTTATCAGATTCAGGCTAACCAATTCTCTTTGTACCTCCTCCGGTAACTGCAATGTGAATCGATCTATATTCTCACCTAGTTGAACCAGTGAATGTCCAGTCGAATGAGATCGAGGGAAGAATATCTCAGCCACAGGCCAGCTTGACAATAACCCTGTAGATCTCGACCGAGGTGTTCTATAATTTGCATTATCGTTCCATGTCACACTGTTACCTGTCAAGCTTATCTCGTTGGGGGATTCAAGAACAACTCTCCTTGCATTTCCGGTTTCAATATCCATGCTTGGATATGGAAAGCTCTCACTGGGTTTCAGAGACAAATCTGCACGACAGACTGGACATGTAGACCAAGAAGAGAGCCATACGTCAATGCAATTAGCATGGAAGGTGTGGCTACAAGGAGGCATCCAACGTAGCGACTCTTCGTCCTCAAACTCGCTTAAGCAAATTGCACATTCTACTCCGCCTTTGCCTATCTTGAGCCCTTTAACCTCTGAATAGAGGAAAGTCGGAAAGGACTCGATGACGTCCTTGTCAATCCCACACCTCACTCTAGTGTGCAACACTTGATGACCTCCTGCCTCAATCTCTTCACTACAACATCCATAGTGCAAGCAGTAAAAAACCAAAAGAAAGAGGAACAATGAAAGCAAAACGATCCCAATTATCGATGAGACTTTGTTTCTTCCATTGCGATCTGCTGACTCGTGCTGGCAAATTACGTAAGGCAAACATTGGAAAAGGAAGAGTGGCAATAAAACACATACTACGATCCGATGGCTGAAATCTCTAGTGAAGATAGTCATGATATGAACTGCTCTTCTGCGCTATATTACGGTGGATCACTTGAGCTTCATGTCTCCGTTTAGAGCGAGAGAGATAGAGAAGAAGAAGAAGAAGAAGAAGTCGTTCATCATACAAAACAAATCTGATTTGTAAATCAATAAGATCTGCCCGTCACGACAACAAATATTGTATTCTTACTATGTTAGATTTGTTTTGGTCCGAATGATTAGTTTGGCTTTTTCCTCCAACGTTTTGACTTTGAAGAAGTTTTATTATGTTCTTTGTAGACGTGGAACAAGTAAGTACAACTCCCACACATACCCACTTTATAAACTTGTTGACTACGCAACTAGACTTTATCCAGACAGTTTTGACCTAATCCTACTTGTAAACAACTGAAATTAGGGAGTAATATCATTTTTTAAAAAAATAAAAAAGCAAGATATTGCAAAGTCAAAGATGAAAAATCAAAGGTTATCATTTCTATAATTACAAGAAGGAGCTTCAAATGTTACATTATCTTAAAAAAAAACTTGTCTGGAAAATCAAATCTTACAAAGACATTAATAACATTCTTTTTACTCTTTTGCATGTAGCATCCCTTGAAAAACTGTACAAGATATTCGAACAATGCTAACTGAAACCGCTGATTGAACTTTTGACATGAGTAGACTTCTTACTCTAACTATGTTTACAGACCTATAAATTAAAAATCTGGAACTAGTTAATGGTTAAACCAAACTGTGGCACACATTTTTGGGAGATGGAGAACCATAGATCGACGGGGCCAGATGACAAAGCCAACATTTGGCCAGAAGATATGATTCTCCATCTCCCAATACACATGACTGTCATCAAACTCGAACTTTTCATTGACTTATCTTCGTCAATTGAAGGGGAAAAATGTACATAGATTAGACGGTCTAATCTAATTTAGACCTTCTCTGGCATGAGGCGTTCAAATGACCGTTCACCAAAATATTTTTCCATAGCTTGGGAAGTCTCTTGGACTTGATCATTCCTGTCATGTGTTGACCGAACAGAAGTAGTTTGAAAAAAAGAAAGTAAGAGACATAGATAAGGCCCGCCGGTGCATTTGCCGACCCTGAGGGAAACCACTCTCGCTTCTGTAGCCCTGTCTCGAACTCATGGCTTGAGGTAAGGCCATTTGGCTTCTCCTTATCAGATTCAAGCTAACCAATTGACTTTGCACATCCTCCGGTAATTGCAATGTGAACCGGTCTAGATTTTCACCTAGTTGAACCAATGAATGTCCGGTCGTATGAGATCTAGGGAAGAATATCTCAGCCATACGCCAGTTCGACGGTAACCCTGTAGATCTCGACCGAGGTGTTGTATAATTTGCATTATTATTCCATGTCACACTATTACATGTCAAGCTTCTCTCATTGGGGGGTTCTTGAACACCTCCCGTTTCAACATCCATGTTCGGATATGGAAAACTCTCGTTGGGTTTCTGAGACAGATTCGCACGACAGACCGGGCAGGTGGATCGGGAAGAGAGCCACACATCGATGCAATTAGCATGGAAAGTGTGGCTACAAGGAGGCATCCAACGTAGCGTTTCTTGATCCTCAAACTCACTAAGACAAACTGCACATTCTACTCCGCCTTTGCCTGTCTTGAGTCCTTTAACTTCTGAATAAAGGAAAGATGGAAAGGACTCGATGACTTCCTTCTCAAGCCCGTGCCTCGCTCTAGTGTGCAACACTTCTTGGCTTGCCGCCTCAATCTCTGCGCTATACAATGTGTTGTGCAAGCAACAAGCGACGATGCTTAATGAGATAAATAATGCAAGAATCACAATTGCAATTACCGTTTCCGCTGGGAGATTTGTTTTTTTATTGCGGTCTGCGGATTCCGACACTTGTTGGCAGGTTACGTAAGGCAAATAATGGGAAAGGAAGAGCGGCAACAAAATTCTTGTAACGATTTGATAGATGAGATCTCTCGCAAAGATAGTCATGATGTGAACAAGAACAAGTATCCGTTTCACGGTAGTTCACTTGATGATCTCTCACGGTAGTTCACTTGATGATCCATGTCTCCGTTTATAGGTTTAGAGGGAAGAAGAGAACAAGAACAAGTCGTTGTTATACTAAACAAATTCTGATTCGTAGAGCAATAAGACCTGCCCGTCACGACACTAAATATTGTATTACTACTATGTTAAGTTGGATTTGTTTTTGTCCGAATGATTGGTTTGGCTTTTTCCTCTTAACGTTTTGACTTTGATGAAGTCTTTACGTTCAATGTAGATGTAGAACAAGTACTACTTCACTCGTGCCCTATCTATTAACTTGTTGACTACGCAACAAGACTATTCTCACAGTTTTGACGTAGTCGTACTTGTAGACAATTGAGAATTGTAAGACTAAAACAAAAGGATAATCACATTGCCACTATAGATTGTATGGTTTCACTCGAGAACTTAAGCGTCAAAACCTATGCTCTGCTTTCTTGGTTTAAAATTTCCGAAACTCAAAAAGGAATCTGCTCAAAGCTGCATATGTTGTAACAAAAAGGACTTTTTTGAATAAGTAATTTTACATTGATTCAAAAAAAAAAAAAGATAAATCTTATTCACAAAGTCAAAGGATAAGACAGATAGAGATAGGACACGTGGAGCGATAAGAGAGCAGATGTGTACACAGATTAGACCTTCTCTGGCATGAGGCGTTGAAACGACTGTTCCCCAAAATCTTTGTAAGCTTGAGAAGTCTCTAGCACTAGATCGTCCCTACCAAGTCAGAAGCAGCTTGAAAAGAGAGAGACATAGATATGTCCCGCCGAAGTTTTTTTTTTTCCCTGAGAGAAACCGCTTCTCTCGCTCTCAACACACCCGCTTCTTTAGCCCTGTCTCGAACTCCTGTCTCGAGGTAAGCCGACGTGGCTTCAGGCCAACCAACTGTCTTTGCACCTCCTCCGGTAACTGCAGTTTGAACCGATCTAGATTCTTACCTAGTTGAACCAATGAATGTCCGGTCGAATAAGATCTAGGGTAGAATATCTCCGCCCTACGCCAGCTCGACAATGATCATGTAGATCTTTTTTTTTTTTTGATAAGAATGTAAATATCATTTCAAGAAATGAAAGTTTAGGATGTTAATCCTAAATACATGGTCCCATGTCAAAAAAGAGTAAAAAACATGGAAGCATAAACATTCGAAATTCAAATCATCACTAAAACCATAAGCGGTGAGGCTTATGGCAAGGCTATGAATTGAATTCGATAAAAAGACTATCCTAAGCAAAACATGGCAAGAAGCAAGAGCAGAAGGGAAAGAGATCAAATGACGAAAGACGAAGCAAAACGGAAGTCCCTTCAACGTGAGCCCAAATCAAAGAAGAAGCGGAGCTACACGAGCTAAAGTCGGCAGGCAATACTGTCCTCTACCAATATCCCCTTGATGTCACTAGCATGGACTAAAGTAACATCATATCCTCCAAAAACCATACTAACACCTCCATGTCGCAAAGATCAAACACATAATACCTCGGCCAAACTGATGATTCAAGAGCCACAAAAACATTCACTTAGCTGATGAAAGAGAGCAAATGGCAAAGGTGGAGGCGAACTAAGGTAGCAAAAGAACCCGAACATCAAGAACAAATCAAACGAGTGTGACATGGCCGGAGATGCGTGGAATTTGCCATCAAATCTGCGACGCCAGGCAGTCCTCAAACCCGTGATCAAGCAGAGACAGCTACTCCTTCCAACCGAAACTCACTAGAAACTTGTACAAGCAAATCAAGTCTCGGACAAAATCAAGTCTACAACGCCAAGTCCACACTTTGGCTTGGGAGATGGCTTGACTGGCGAGGTTATTAGGTGACTGACCCAAGGAAACAAGAGAAGCCGGCTCTTGAAAGGAGGCCACACAACAATAACAAACTCCAGAAATCCATTCCCCCAGCGAAGACTAGAGTTGAAGATCGGAAAAGCCGGGATTTTGCGACCTAATCAAAAACCACCCAACCAAAACTCAAGCAATCAACAGAGCTCCTTGCGCTCGTGAGAGACGCAACGAGACAGGGAGCCAAACGGTGCCTCCACAAAGCGGGAGCAAATAGAACAGATCGGAAGAACAAGTAGTAGGCACGGAGGGAAGGAGAGACTAGCTTACCAACCCCTGACGGAGCGAGAGACACCGCCTTGAAATCTATTGAGAAGATCCGTCAAACGCCAAAAGGGAAGAGAAAGAGAGATCAAAGGACCACCTTCCACTAACCACTCGCCGGAGGAGACCCAAACACCACCTGAGCCAAGCCAAGCAGTCACGACACCGAGAAACGGAGTGTGGGAAAACCGCCGTGAACCACCACGGGAAAAACTAACGCTACCCTAGCCGCTGTCCTCGAGCAAGACTGTGGAAGAGCTAGCTCGTCGTGGAGGTGGAGCTGCCGTGTTAACCGAGAGGAGTCAAGACGAGCCGAAGCCATTGGAGCCGGAGAAGAGATTTTCCGTTAACCTAGCCACCGCGACCTTCTTCTAAAGCTTGTCAATTCGCCAGAGGAGAGGCACCCAAGCAACGCAGAGACTCAAGGAGGCCTTCTCACAGCCACGGCGAGGAGAGCCGGTAGCCGGAGAGGCAAACAACGGCGTGGATCTAGGTTTCTCGGAAGAAGACGATTTGGGAGAAAAGTCGCGCGCGTGTCGGCCACGCGTGGATCTAGAAAATATTGTCGGACCGATCCTGATCCTGTAGATCTTGATCTAGTTGTTCTATAATTTGCATTATTGTTCCATGTCACATTACTATCTGTCAAGCTTATCTCGTCGGGGAGTTCTAGTACATCTCTTCAAGCATTTCCTGTTTCAAGATCCATGCTCGGATATGGAAAGCTGTCGCCGAGTTTTAGAGACAGATTTGCACGGCATACGGGACATGTGGACCGAGAAGAGAGCCACACGTCGATGCAATTAGCATGAAAATTATGGCTACAAGGAGGCATCCAACGTAGCGTTTCTTGATCCTCAAACTCCTTTAGACAAATTGCACATTCCACTCCGCCTTTGCCTAGCTTGAGCCCTTTAACCTCTTGCAGGTTACGCGAGGTAAACATTGGATAAAGAAGAGCAGCAATAAAACACATCCTACGATCCGATGGATGAGATCTCTCGTGAACATAGTCGTCATGATGTGAATAGAACGGCTCTTCGATTATATCACGTTGGATCACTTAAGTTCCAACTTCCAAGTCTCTGTTAAGAGCTAGAGAAAGAGAAGAAAAAAGAAGTTCTTATACTATACAAATTCTGATTCGTAGATCACTAAGATCTGCCTGTCACTATACGATGTTAGTTTTGTTTTGGTCCGAATGATTGATT